TTATTTGCTGATCGGGGCTTTATTCGATCTTTCTGAGTAAATGTCCTGATATTAAGATTACTGGTGGTGAGCTCTGCTGAGACTCTGCAGGGAAAACCTGGTATTGATGACAGAAGGACGAACCATTTCAAACAAATCAATAAGAAACAAATAAAAATCAAGAATACATATTTATATGTGTGTACCTGCGTAGATTTAAACACTTGCACACAAAAAATGTAGGAGTGAGAAGTTTACACTTTCTTCAATTCCTTGCCCCTTATTCTATTCTTCAATTTACCTTTCAATATGGTGGGCGTGGCCCAATTACTCCACAGCGCCCCCTAGAAATCTTTAAAAATCAGCAACAAGCTCTGCTTTGACCTACAATCATGAAATTCGGTACACATGTACATCTTGACAGGACGTACAAAAATGGAAACCACGGTGTCTGACTGACAGCAGCATGGGTTGGTCATGGCTGATGTGTGTGTGACAGTGGCTCAGGTGATGATGGATCTGTGACGGTTGTCTTTCTGCTGCAGGTCTGAGGAATCACTCACCATGATGGTTATCTCAGCATGTCAGCCAGGAATGTGTCCAACACGTCCTGCAGTAATTACAGCCTCGGCTCTGCTGTCACTTCACCGCCTCAGAGGGTGAAGCTCATTCAGCCCACCTGTGTTTATCTCTTCTCTTCCTTGAATAAAATTTCTGTATTTTCTACCCGATGAATGAAAAACAAACATTTTAACCAAAAATTCACCAGAAAGACCCAAATATACCAGGATGACTTTTCTAATTTACGATCCTCTTTGTCCCCTAGGGGGTGCTGTGCTCTCTGAAAGCCTGAGGATCACACAGTTAGCCCTGAGTTCATTAAGTTAAAAGGATGAATGAAATAAAAGGTATTGTTGAACATACTCTGTAGTCAGATTAAATTAATTGTACATAATCAGGTGACACTGCATCTATGTTCACAATTGTTGAGCAGATTAAAATTGTGCAACATGAAACATAAAAAGTGATCTTCTTTATTTAGTGAAGGAATAGTGAATGTTACTAACATCTTTTTACTTGCATTTATACCCGGACTCAAAAACATAATGAATAGCTTGAAGTGTCAGAATGTGATTCCAACAGTTTTCACTGATATTTCTGAGGAGTTTTTCTTTCCTTCCTGCTGCAAGTCTGGAGAAAAAAAGCGATCGCAACTTTCTTAAAATCCAGAGAAACTTTTTTATAAAAGGTCGCTCATTTCTCTTTCGGGTGAAAAGTCTTTTTATAAGTTTCTGCAAAGCCAGTAGTGGTGGTGGAGCTTAAATGAGAGACATTTCCAACGTTTCCAACACGAGGATGTTCCGCTGAGAGACACGAAGCGGAAGACGGTTTCCGACTTCCGATTCAGGAAACATGGCGATTCCACATATTTTTCACTACTTTCAGTATCTTTCATGTATTGTAGTAAAAATAACTACAACAACACCTGGACTTTTCAAACCTGGACTGGATTGTTCTGCTGTAACAGCAGAATATTTAAAACTAAGTTTGTGATTTGTGAGACTTCAATAAAGGGCAATTTCAGCACTTTTTATGCATTTGGATCATATGATTAGTGCTCCAGCTCCAAAACTACAACAGACGGACAAGATTATTCCGTTATAATAGCAGGTTTTCAAAATAAAAGCACAATGACTCATGCTGCTTCATGGGTTGTTGTGGTTATTTGGTTGCTCATCAGAAAAGTTGCATTTGAAAAGAGTTAATTTTTCATCAGCGGTGGCTGAGATGGAGACAAAAAGGAGGAAAATCTTTCCCATGTGGGAATACTTTAGTTTCTAAATTAAAGAACTGCTCCGCCCTGCTGACTGCCGCCAGGCCGACCATCAGGCACCCAGCAGCGGCTCCTCACATTCAGGCAGGCCTGATGATGAAGCGGCATGGCGCCACCTGTCAGTCACTCCAGGTGTTTGTCAGCAACCGACCAATCAGCAGTCCCTATTTGTCCCAAAGTATCTGGAGGAACTGAACGTCCAGTAACTTGGCCAGCGCTGGTCATTTCTAATGATTTTGAGGAAAACAATTGAAATCGTAATGAAGGCCTGTCAATGGGGAACATGTAAACCCAGAGCTATTAGAGACCGGAATACAGTTTATTACATTTCTAAACCCAAATCAACGGAAACTCCCACATGTTCCTCAGCACAAAGGTAACTGGTGGTAAAACCCATTTTTATCGAAACAGCACTTATTGATAATCAAATCAAAGATCAATAAGTGAAGGTAGTTAGGCTTTAGTAACTGTAGTGTTTACCTTTGAGCATCTTTTTATGCTCCTGTTTATGTTCAAGCATTTTCCTGAAGGCAGATTTTCACAAGCCGGTGTTATTTAAGTCGTTACCATTTTGTGTGTGTAAAATGTGTTTGACAGCGTTCACACTCACATCCAACTAGACTTTGTGTTGCTCACCATTTTTCCTCTTGGGCTTCATCGTTTTTTCCCGTTAATAACCTTACAGACTTGATGTCCGACTCATGACAGAATCTTTGCCTCAGTTTTGGCTGATGATTCAAAACATGTCTCGGGCAACGCATTGAGTTTTCCTACTTCTGCCATTATAATTCTTGTTTGTCGGAGGTTTTCTCCACTTCTGCATGGGGGCGGAGCCAGTGTGACGTCGGCAGCTCTGTGCGCTGCAGCAAAGATCCTAGGAGGAAGAGGAGGTCTCATACTTACACAAACACTGTAGCACAGCAGAACCCAACACGTTGGTCTTTAAAGACACATATTCATCCTGATCTGTGATATTGTTATAGGTCATTCTATGCATTATTTTATGTTTTATTTGTGTTGCTGTGTAAATAGAGATGAAAACTCCTGCAGCCCCACAGTTCAGTCTCTGCAACCCTTATCATGAAACGGGATGATGTGGTGATCTCTCCTTATTTTTGGAAAGTAATAGTTGTCCAGTTTGATTTTGTTAAATGATTTAATTGGTGAAAGGTTAGTCCAGAATGGTGGCACTGGGACTTAACCTGGTAGAGGCAATATGACGTCTTTGCTGTTTTGTGTTATTAGGTGACACGTGACGAAAAGAGGATCATGGACTGAACCATGTGCAACTTAATAGATATTTATTTACTGATAGAATATTAAAACTTTCAGCATCTGATGAATAAAATAACAATGAGACATCCTTCTGACCTCCGACGTCAATATTTCAAGTTATAATTGGTCCATAATGTGGTGATCTGTGTTTTCATTTCTAGTTTTTTTCTGAGTTTAGTTAGTTCTGTTCCCTGTGAGTACTAGTGATGTCCTCCAGGCTGATTGTTCCCAGGTGTGTCTCGTTCCCTGATTACCCTCCCTGTGGATTAAACCCACCTGTTGTTCTTGTCGGATCCTGTGTGTACATCCCTGATGCTCCTTCATCACCTTATTCCTGGGTCTGCCTGCGTCTTCTCTCACCTCACCTAAACCCAATTTATCAATAAAACAAACATAAAAAAATAAAACAACTTTTACAGGAAATTAAACTGAAAACCTGCTAAACTGATTTATTATTATACAAATGTTTTAATATCTGGGTCAACTAGTAATAGTTTAACTTTTAATTATTTGAATAAAGTCATAATATTATCAGATTAAAGGTGTAATATTAGATGAATAAAGTAATAATTTTATGAAAACAACACAAAAATAATTAACATTTAAAATGAAGCTTAGTTAGAGATGTTTTGGTTTTATCATGTTATTACTTTAGTTCATATTCAGTCTAATGTTAATCAATAGTTAATTAACATTCAGTATTATTGTGATTTTCAGTTTAAAGTGTTCTCTTCCTTCTGGGTGTATAAACTGAGCTGGAGGCCCATCTGCCTGTTCGTCTTCATGTGAAACAGTTAACTGTGTTTCCAAGACCTTGAATTATGTTTCCTCAGGTGCCTCCTTATCAACCGTAATACTCCCTACCTTAGAAACTGTCTGTGTGCAGTAAAATATCGTCTCTGCTGTCTTCCTTACCTGTCCTCCTTCCTTTTACTTGATAATAAAAGACAAGCTGCAGCCAAAGGTCTTCAGACGCTCTGAACGGCTCGGAGGAGCAGTTTGCTGAGACTTCTCCTTTTGCAAAAGCTTGTTCAGAAAACTCATATACGTTGTCTGTGGTTCTTTAAATGAAGGTTTGAGGAAAATACCCATCATGTTTAGCATCTTTATGAAGTTTGGTTTCATAAACAAATAAATTCTTCATATTTTAACAGCCTGAGGTTTTTATCAGACTGCAGACAAAATATTTATCACTGAAACAAATTTTTCTCTTAATTTATTATTTTATTCTGGTAATTAAAATCCTAATTTTGTGCTGTGATGATTAAAAACATGAGTTTGTTATTTATGAGTTTAGGAAAGTTATTAGAGGCTGAAGAGTTTAACCTGCTGCAACTCTGAACGGCAGAACGGCTGATTTCACAACCAGAACCAGAACCAGAACCTCCTCCAGTCTTTCTGCTGCTCTCATCATGACAGCAGAGGAAAAACATCGACTCTGTGACTGTCAGAGTCTCTGCTCATCATGAAGCAACACTTCCTCTGCTGCTGGTTGTTTCTCCATGTTATTATGCAACTGGATTAAAGTTTCATAAAGATTCATTTTGTTGTGGCATTAAATCCACAGATGTATTGAGTCTCAGGTCTCTTCTGTAACTAAATCCAGAGATCTGGTTGGTCAGTTTGCCAGATGAGCTCAGTTAAAGGAAATCACCTGAAGGATGATCCACATTATTAACCAGCTTCAGGTTTCAGGTGATATGGGGAGAGAAAAGATCTCTGCTGAAAATCATCAGATAGTTTAGAGCCGTATGACAAGGTATGAAAACATTAGATATGTAAAAGTGAAGCGTTGTCATCGTACTGATCTGTGGCTGATTCAGAACAAAGATGGGTTTATGCAGACAGAGGCACAACGAGGAAGGTTTCTGTTAGAGCAGCTGCTGAAATCCCTTAAAGCAGCAAACAGTGACTAGAAGCTGCTGGTGGAACCTGAAGGTGTCGGATCCTCCAGAGGCTCCATGAGCAGGAACCACATTCGGCCCCCACTAACCGGGCCCACAGGCAGAACCGGCCCCAGTGGGCCCAGCAGGACATGAGGAGTAACGTTCAGACTGATGGCTGCTGAGCAACCCTGGATGGTCCAGATGGACCCAGTGGTGGACGGACACCATGTCCCAACACGGCTGGGACGTCAGCAGGGAGGTGGTGGAGTCATGCTGTGGGCCAGAGAGAGCTGCAGGGCCCTTTAGGGCCCCTGAAGGTGTCATTGGCTGCTGTGGTCTGGTCACCATCATCCTCTGACCTCTGACCTATTGAGAACCTCTGGAGTTTCCTCAGCAGGAGACCTGAGGGTTCAGATCATCAGCAGCTCTGGAAGGTTTTCTGACTCCTGCAGAAATCAGAGCAGAAACTTTAAAGGTTTATGGATAAAAGAATCGATCAGCTGATCAAAAGAAGGTCCAACGTTAACATGTCACTGTTGAGATGTTTCACATTGAAATGGCTTTTGGTTTTAGTTCCTGTGATCACTGGGATAATAATTTGGAACACAGTGAAGACTGCTTCAGTCTGTGAGCCAGAGTCCGGTCCGGTGTGAGTCAGAGTCCGGTCCGGTGTGAGCCAGAGTCCGGTCCGGTGTGAGCCAGAGTCCGGTCCGGTGTGAGCCAGAGTCCGGTCCGGTCCGGTGTGAGCCAGAGTCCGGTCCGGTGTGAGCCAGAGTCCGGTNCCCAGCAGCGCCGTCTGATTGGTGGGAACTTCCTGCCCGGTGCAGTTTCGGCGGTCGTCCCTCCTCCGGATCTCTCCGGTCCGGCCGACAGTCAGAACCAGCTTCTTGCTGTGATCTCCAGATCTCCACCGCGCTCCGTCCTGACTCAGGACGTCTCCCGTCTCCGCCACCTGGACGGCGGTCTCCCACAGGTGCAGCTCCGTCTCCAGGCCGGCTCGGTGCAGCGTCTGCAGCAGAGCTTGTGGGAAGCGGCGGTCCGATCCCGCGCCACAGGCCACCACCGCGGTGGTTTGGATCTTCTGGCCGATCCTGGAGCTGCTCTGGATGATCCTGGCCACGTCCTGGTAGCTGTACCCCGATATCCTCATCTCTCCTGAAGGCTCTCTGGCTCCGTGACCCACCAGAACCAGGCTGCTGCGTTCCGACAGAGGCGCCGCCTGACCTTTGACCTGCCGGACTCGGTGCCGGGGACGGACGGCGTGAAGCGAACTGACCGCTGGATGTTTGTGGAAGAGAGAAGCTGCAGCTGTTCTCACCACCTCATCGTCTGCTAGCATGACGATCTGCTGCTGGTCAAACTGGACCAGGGGGTCATCTGGGCTGGGGGCGGTTCTGGGGGTTCTGGAGGTTCTGGAGGTTCTGGAGGTTCTGGGGGTTCTGGAGGCTCTGAGAACCGGGTCCGCTTCATACAGTACTTGATCCATCTGAGGGTTCTGCTGGTCGGGTTCTGACCCACAGACTGTCTGGTTGTAGAGCTTTCTGCTGACCGGGAGACGCTGCTGCGGTTCCGACCCGTTTTCCTGCCTGGTGTTTCCGTCTGATGGGTCGGTGCTGCGGGTCGGAACCAGAACTTCCTGTGTGGAGCAGGGAGAGACCTCTGCAGCGCTTTGCAGCCGGTCCGCCATCGTCTGCTGGTCAGAACCAACCAAGGAGGCGTCCAGAACCTGGAAACCAAACAAGCTCTGGTCAGAACACAGGAAGGTTCTGCTGCGGTTCTGGACGGGATAAACCCAGAGTCGGGCCAAAGCAATGCAAGTTCAGCGGCTGCTTAGGACCTCCAGGCCACCAGGGGGCCCAACAGCACCGAGCTAGCACGATTAAAATATAATATTTAAAATAACGTTAAATTATACAAACATTATTAAACATGGAAAAAATGTCAATTTTGATTTTTGTGACATAAATAATAAAAGTAATAATAATAATAATAATAATAAAAGTAATAATAATAATAATAATAATAATAATAATAAAAGTAATAATAATAATAATAATAATAAAAGTAATAATAATAAAAGTAATAACAATAATAATAATAATAATATCGTCCTGCTGCCTCTGCTGGGGAAACATAACATTTAACTTTTCAACTTGTTTACTGTAAATTTAATGTTTATCAGCTGAAATTACTTTAAATAATTAAAATAATGCGACACTTAAATACAAAACACAAAATGTTACTTTTGATCTGATTTCTGGTTCAAATTTCTTAAAGGACCTGAAATAAAAAACAACTTTTCATTCAGATTTTGAGCTTTTTTCAGTCATTTCTTAATATTGATGTAAAACTTCTTGTTCTTTGTATTATTTCATCTGTAAGACAGAAAAATGTTTTATTATCAGTGAAAAAATCCACCAGTGGAACTGAAACGTTTTCCTCCATAGTAAGGAATTATTTAATCCTGTTTCCTGTTGAAAAGTTACTTGTACATTCGTGTCGTTTTGTTTCACTCAGCTGAAGCAGCTGGTGTCACCATGTTGGTTTGGGCCCCAGAAAGTCTTGGACCGGCCCTGAATCAGATTCTGGTGTTTTATTTTCTGTGCTGGTTCAAATCCTTCACTTCAGAATCGACTCGTTTAAAACACATTTTCATTTCTGACCTTCATCCAGGATCATTTCATCCAGTTCACTGCAGAGACTCTAATTTAAATGATAACATTTTGTTCTCATCTTTTATGTTTTTACATATAAAACAGATTTATTGTAAAGTTATGGATGAATAAAATCTTCACCTTTTCATTGTGGAGCAGCTGATCTGGAATCAGTCTGGAAGGAGAAATGATTTAGTTTTTATCTTTAAATGGTGAAAACAACAAATTAAAAACATAATTTCAGTTTTTACAGAAAGAGATTATGAAATAAAAACGTTTCCAGTCATTTCTGACTAAAACTGGAGTTTTCTGGAATCTGAGCTGAATTAATTGTTTCAGTGATTGATCGGCTCTCAGCTGATCATAAACATGAGTTATTAATAATATCTATTAATAATAAATTCTGTAATAAAACCAGATTCTGACCTGCTTCTCTCCAGATGTTCATCTTTTCCTCTGAGGAAACTTCCAGCTGTGAAATCAGGGCTCAGCTCCTCCTGAACGCCTCTCCCCTCTGCAGCATTAAGACACCGATCACTCAACAAACCCTGATCAATAATCAATAACCCATCATTTAAATTCTCTGTCAGCGTTGTGCAGGTCATACCGGTGGAGAGGATGAGGAGGCCGAAGACGACCAGGAGGCTCAGCGGCGCCATGATGCTGCAGCAGAGAAACAGGCAGCAAACAGAACCTCAGCCTGGAGGGAGTCAGCCTGGAGGGAATCAGCCTGGAGGGAATCAGCCTGGAGGGAGTCAGCCTGGAGAGAATCAGCCTGGAGGGAATCAGCCTGGAGGGAATCAGCCTGGAGGGAATCAGCCTGGAGGGAGTCGGCTGAAGAAGGTGAAGTCGATGAAGCTGAGTTTGGTTTTTATCGGATCAGATCCTCCCACAGAGGAGGAGACTTCATGATGCAGAACTTTGACCCAGTTTGGCCGGGTGTATGTAAATATCTGACCTATGAAATGAGACTTGAAGAAATCCACAATAAATTCAAACTTTTCATTTAGTTTTTAAACATAAATTCAGTGAAAAGTTTCAAATCAATCCTGCAGATTCAACTTTCATCTGTTTGTTTCCTAAAATGATGAATCTGTAAAGTTTTAACTTTCAGATAAAACAATAAATTCCTGAAGGAAACATTGAAATATGATCAGGGATCTGCATCGTTTACAGACAAATAAATAAATATATGTTTTAAAAAGATAACTGAGAATTATAGATAAATATTTATTACGAAATATAGTGTCATTAATTTACTGAGTTATTTTAAAATAAATAAAAACATAAAACTTGACCAGAAACATGATGTTTATATTTATGAGTTTAGGAAAGTTATTAGAGGCTGAAGAGTTTAACCTGCTGCAACTCTGAATGGCAGAACGGCTGATTTCACAACCAGAACCAGAACCAGAACCAGAACCTCCTCCAGTCTTTCTGCTGCTCTCATCATGACAGCAGAGGAAAAACATCGACTCTGTGACTGTCAGAGTCTCTGCTCATCATGAAGCAACACTTCCTCTGCTGCTGGTTGTTTCTCCATGTTATTATGCAACTGGATTAAAGTTTCATAAAGATTCATTTTGTTGTGGCATTAAATCCACAGATGTTTTGAGTCTCAGGTCTCTGAATCAGTGAAAGGAAATCACCTGAAGGATGATCCACATTATTAACCAGCTTCAGGTTTCAGGTGATATGGGGAGAGAAAAGATCTCTGCTGAAAATCATCAGATAGTTTAGAGCCGTATGACGAGGTATGAAAACATTAGATATGTAAAAGTGAAGCGTTGTCATCGTACTGATCTGTGGCTGATTCAGAACAAAGATGGGTTTATGCAGACAGAGGCACAACGAGGAAGGTTTCTGTTAGAGCAGCTGCTGAAATCCCTTAAAGCAGCAAACAGTGACTAGAAGCTGCTGGTGGAACCTGAAGGTGTCGGATCCTCCAGAGGCTCCATGAGCAGGAACCACATTCGGCCCCCACTAACCGGGCCCACAGGCAGAATCGGCCCCAGTGGGCCCAGCAGGACATGAGGAGTAACGTTCAGACTGATGGCTGCTGAGCAACCCTGGATGGTCCAGATGGACCCAGTGGTGGACGGACACCATGTCCCAACACGGCTGGGACGTCAGCAGGGAGGTGGTGGAGTCATGCTGTGGGCCAGAGAGAGCTGCAGGGCCCTTTAGGGCCCCTGAAGGTGTCATTGGCTGCTGTGGTCTGGTCACCATCATCCTCTGACCTCTGACCTATTGAGAACCTCTGGAGTTTCCTCAGCAGGAGACCTGAGGGTTCAGATCATCAGCAGCTCTGGAAGGTTTTCTGACTCCTGCAGAAATCAGAGCAGAAACTTTAAAGGTTTATGGATAAAAGAATCGATCAGCTGATCAAAAGAAGGTCCAACGTTAACATGTCACTGTTGAGATGTTTCACATTGAAATGGCTTTTGGTTTTAGTTCCTGTGATCACTGGGATAATAATTTGGAACACAGTGAAGACTGCTTCAGTCTGTGAGCCAGAGTCCGGTCCGGTCCGGTCCGGTGTGACTGCAGGGCTGCAGCTGTTGCTCAACCCAAAACGCCACGTTGGTGTTTGCAGGAAACGTTCACAGCTTTTAGTTCCACCTGAATGTGACTCAGGATGACTGGACTTTAAATGCAAAACGTGTTTCTGACATTTTCTAATAATCTGTTAGAAACTAACTCTGAACTTAGACCAGAATATGAGACACGACAACAGGCCCAGGCTCTGTTCATTCATCGGTACATTAAAGTGGTTTTGCTGAGGAAGGAACTGGTTCAACCTCCAGGACCAAGTCCATCTGCTTCACCTCTGGACACAAAGCAGCTGTTAGTTTGGCTCTAATCTGCTCTGATGTGCATGGATCCCTGGGTACTCTGACCTCTGACCCCCACAGCCCAGAAACATTCCTGTTAGGCAAAAAGCCATTGGGTCCAATGGATGGATGGATGGATGGATGGATGGATGGATGGATGGATGGATGGATAATGGATGGACGGATGGATGGATGGATGGATGGATGGATGGATGGACAGATGGATGGATGGATGGATGGATGGACAGATGGATGGATGGATGGATGGATGGATAGATGGACAGATGGATGGATGGATGATGGATGGATGGATGGATGGATGGATGGATGATGGATGGATGGATGGATGGATGGATGGATGGATGGATGGATGGATGGATGGATGGATGGATGGATAATGGATGGACGGATGGATGGATGGATGGATGGATGGATGGATGGATGGATGGACAGATGGATGGATGGATGGATGGATGGACA